TTTACACACATCACTTACACAAAATCTTGACCATTTATCTCTCCACTATGAATGGTTAGGATTTAGCACAACTTTTTATATGAAAAAAACAATTATCTTTAAAAAAAAATAATAAATCTCAACCATTTATAATAAAGAAATAAATGATTAGGATATTTTTGTAAATGATATGTGTAAGAGTTGTGTGCAACTAGATCCTAACTCATGATTAATTATCACAATTTCATGACAAATTCATTGATTGCTTAAATATAAACGAACAGTTATGTTCTGTCAATAACAAAAATTATACAGGTCATTTCCAAACTTTAGTTTTGAAGGATGAATCTAAAGTAGCCACATTAATTATGGACAAAGGAATTTCTTGCAGTTGACTGTCTTTGCTCATTGTTTTTGGATTTCAAAATCAAATCAAAACTCTTTGTAGTATACAGAGTGTAGTTTGAAATTTGTTGATTTGCAATCCTGGTGCACTTTCTTGGTGCTTTCCCCCCGGTGCACGCTTTCCCCCGGTGCACGCTTCTACTTAGATTCCTATAACTGAATTCCTACAACTGAAGAAAAGACAGTGAATCTGAATCCTAACTTTTGAACCTAACATCAGAAATGAGATTAAATTTTTTAATGCACCTCAAAAAACTGAAAACATCAATAACCAAAATTCAACACTAATCTCTTTTTCATCATTATCTCAGCAGCTAAAAAGCAGGCAAAATAAAATGAAGCAACAGCATAAAGGTACCATCATGGTCACGGAATAGTGGCATAGCGACTATTTGCAAGAGGGCATGAACTACGATTACAAATCCCCGTTACATTATAAGGATTCCTGTAGAAAATCCCAGTATTGATTCTGAAACAGAACAACAATTCAGAAATTAAATTATTAGCAAGGTTGAGGAGCTAGGTATGCAAGAGGAGGAGCTCGATACTCCCAAGCGTAGTCATGATGTTTCTGATCCAATCCAGTAATCGGTAGGTGGGGACCATCATTCTTTGGAATTCGGCTCTCCTTGAAGCTGGAATTAACAAACAATTAGCTTTTCAATTGTTGTACGTAGGCCGTTTGCAACATATCTACCAGAATAGGAACAAGCTTTTTGTCCAAGCAAACAACTTGGGACACCAATTATATAGATGCAAATAACTTTGGCATGTGACATTGTTTGCTCCCAAACGTGCCCCTTCTGCTACATAGTCCTTTAGTTCTATTATACTGCATTTCTCTTCTTTATGTAATGTAATGAGCTTTATAATTGCTCTACCAACCGACATTTTGTACCCTTGCCCTAATATATAAAGATACATTCTCCATTCAATATTTGAGTTAAATATCTCTACTAAAAATGGATATACATACTTAAGAAATTACTAATAACTAATTAGGCAGAGAAATTAATTGATATTAATGCCTACATTGTCCAAAGACAACATGGTAGCTTGGTAGTATGATGAATTCAAAGAAAGTATAATACTGTATATATAATAGTTAGTGTAATCTTTAGGCAACATTAGACAAAAGTAAGACTACCCAAAAGTTGTAGAGCGGCAATGTTTAAAGAAAAGCTCCAACACGATGAATTTTGAACAATATAAGCTTGCCTGGCGGCTGGGGGTGATTGATTTTCTTTGATCCATTGGTAGCACCACAGCGATCCTCTCCTATTTCACTCCCCCATACAAATCTCCCATTGTCTCCTAGAAATGCTGTACTTAATCTCCAACACATTACGCCAAAGTCCCTTTTCCCCTTTTGCAATCTTCCCCCACCATTTGGTATATTAAACAATCTCAAATCCATTAACTCATTCATATCAAGAAGTCATAACACTCATAATGCTTAAGAGTTACATTTCACCTTAAAACTCACACTTAATTCAACAGATTGAGAATTGCATTTTAAATTTAATCTTGTAACTCCCTCTCAATTTAAAAAATGATAATAATATTACAAACTACACCAACAAGAACAAACTTCACTAGTTCGAAATAATGGATTGAAATGGGTGCGTGCCTATTGTTTACTTTCAGCAACAGAGTGCCAGAGCTATTTATAAGCCAAAACTGAGATCAAAATATCAACAATTTATTAAAGAAAAAGTTTACTTTTGAAGATGTTGTTTGTGGGAATGATAGAGACATATGATCATGTCTTGAATGGACATTTGGCTAATAGAGACATGACGGTCTTGGCTAAGATACATTATTGGAATGATAGAGACATAATTGACTTGGCTAAGATTGTGATATGAAATTGAAAATAAGCTTCACCAATTCGAAATTAAGGGACTGAAATGGATATGTGCCTGTGGTTTAGTTTCAGTAACAAATGTCATGTTTAGTTGGTGGTAGTAATTATTCTTATTTTTTGTCAAACTATAAAAATATGATAAACTTAAAAGTTAAAAATAATTAAGGTTTAACATTAATAATTTTCTACTAAACTAAAAGATGAAAGAAAATATGTATTCATTCTATTATTAAGAAATAGGTATTACCTGATTCTTCATTAAAGTAAAAGAAAAATTAGAGATTAAAATTTAGCTACACTTAATTTCCGATGAGAATTTTTTAAATTTTAACTTGGTTTCATAATTTGACCAAATTAAAAAGAGTCCCTACCACCACTCAAACAAGTCCAAAAGTGCCCTAACTATTTACAAGCCAAAAGAGAGATCAAAATATCAGTAATTTAAAGCAAAGGTTAAATTTGAACATGCTATTAGTGGGTCTGGGAATGATCGTTAAACAGTTAAAGGTACTGAAAGCCGTCCTTAACATAAAAGCCTTAAGATTACCACGTCTTGGCTTTAGTCATCTTGCACCATATATATTCGCATTGTGGGGATTCTCTTTCATTTATGAGGATTGCTAGCCCAAGTCAAACTAAACGGTAGTTCATGCTGGTCATGACTCAGCTAGCCACAATCAAACTAACACTCCAAAGTCTCCATTCATTAATATAGCCACCAGCCCACCACTCACTAGTCACTCTTCTTCACCTATTTAAATTTGTTGATTTTTGGCAATACTTTTCCCTTGTGCCAAAATTTCACCTTCAAATTTTCGG